ACCTCCGCCAGTTCCATCACCACCGCCGCCGCCACGCTGTCGTCGCTCAAATCGAATGTGCTCCTCCATGGCCTGCACCAGCGGCAGTTCGTAGTGGTGAAAGAAGAAGATCATTGAGTGGTAGGTGAAGAGCATGGTGACCATGAGCGCCAGGCCGGCGTACTGCCCATTGAAGCGGTAGTGATAGGCGTAAAAGGCAAACTGGTAGAGGTAAAAGAAGCGCAGAAAGTGCCGCTTGCTGATGGCGGAACGGGCGGCCATCGAGTCTGTAAAGTGGATAGTAAAATGGGGATAAATTAAAAAAGAGACTAACAGCATTTAAAAGTTTGAAAGGTTTTTTACGTACCAAACTGGTCCGCCGCCCAGACCATGATGATGACGTGGAAGGCAATGCTGGAGTCGTTGAAGAACTCAAACATAATGGCCTCCATGCCAATCAGTGCCAAGACGACGGTGATCAGCGAGGCGGCGAGCATGGTGATCCGACTGAATGGCTGCTGCATCTCCACCGTGCGCAAAAACTCGCTGACAAAAACGAACACCTAAAAAGAGCAACAGTGGTCAACAACTGGTCAACATCACCTCATCTTTCGCATCAGGACATGAGCGCACTCACCTGTTGGTGGCTGTAGCGAATGAGCATAGAGACAAAGAGCGTGAAGACGATCATGATGAAGGCGGCGGCAATGTAGCTGGCCCTGGTCATCCACACGTTGACAAAGCGAAAGTGCTCTCCGGTGGCCACATTGCGCACGTACCCTCGGTTGTTCTCCTTCTCCGCCAGGCGCTTGATCGAGCCGATGAGCACGTCATCGTACCCCAGAAAGTGGTACAGAATGAAGCGCGCCAGCGGGTCGCCAAAGCAGGCGTCCTCCTCCGGACAGAGGCTGACCACCTTCAGGGGAACATTGTAGTGGGCGCGCATCTCCTCCGAGAGACGCAGCAGGCCGTACTCCAGCGAGTACTCCACCATGTACGGCTGAGGCCAAACTGAAAAGGAAGAAGACAGTTAGAGGGCATGTTAGGACCATGAAAGGTTAGGGTAAAACCTACGTCCATGCTTCTTTGGGTAAAACTCGAGCGTCCGCAGCGCGTCCGCCTCCTTCAGTAGACTAGAATCATTGAGCTGACTGCGAAGCTTCAGCCGCTCCGTAGAGGCACCGTCTTCGTCCGAGGCTTTCACCATCGAAGACAGAAAGGGACTGGAGGCCGGGCAGCCCAGCAGGTACTGCCTCCTCGCCTGCCCCTCCTGTTCCATCTGCGCCCTCCACTGCCCGTGCGTCAGGGGCAGAGGGTAGGCGGCGNACTAGAATCATTGAGCTGACTGCGAAGCTTCAGCCGCTCCGTAGAGGCACTACCGTCGTCCGAGGCTTTCACTATCGAAGACAGAAAGGGACTGTGGCTGGCGGCCGGGCAGCCCAGCAGGTACTGCCTCCTCGCCTGTTCCTCCTGCTCCATCTGCGCCCTCCACTGCCCGTGCGTCAGGGGCAGAGGGTAGGCGGAGGCGGCGGGGGCTGTGCCATTCAGAAAAGGCAGTACCGCCTCTTCGCTGATGTACCGACCGGGGCAGTGGAGCGCATCAAAGGGCGACGAGGAGGAGTAGTCCTTGGAGGAGGCCATGGAGATCTGCACGCGGAGAATGCCGTCGCGGGGCCAGCTGTCGGCGACGTGGTCCAGACAGGTCAGCGGCGAGCGAATCAGGCTGACGTGCAGGTGAATGAGCAGCGCAAAGGCGCTGATCGCCGTCGCCAGGACTGAATATTCAAAGCACTTGCGAAAGATTGGCGGGATCGCCAGGAAGTAGGCCATCGCCGCACGCAACAAGAGCAACTGCAATGGAAAAAGAGTAGAGAATTAGTTAAGGAGAGAGAAAGAGAGGGAGAGAGAGTAAGAAATAAAGAGAAAGACGAGATAATGGGGAAATTGCAAACTTGTGCACAGTTGGGTCATTGTTGATAAGGAAAAGGGACAACGATTTGGTGCGGTTGGATGAAAACTCACTGAAGAGTGAACGGTGCGCGTGCTACGCATTTGATGGAGGATGTAAACGAAAGTGAAATTGAATACCGGGTCACACAGCTAGCTAAGTGGATCACTGCCAAAAGCATCCTAAAATGGCGAGAAAGCAACAACACTTACACTGTAGAGTCGGTGTCGTGCTCGGGCGAGCAGCGGATTCACCGGTTCAATGAAGCCGACACCAATGGGGCCAATGGGTGCGTGCTGGTGATGATGATGATGCTGGTGCTGGTGCTGGCCGTGGGCCGCAGCACCCTGCATCTGCTCATCCATGGCGCCGATAAAGTGCACCGGCGGGAGGTGGTGTCGGTGGTGGTGGTTGTGGTGGCGGACATTCACTGTCAGATTCATCGTCACGGCAATGGAGCGCGACAAGGTGCTGCTGGTGGTGGTGGTACTGCCGTTGTTGTTGTTGTTGTTGTTGTCGTTTCCTGCGGGCGGTTGCTGGTGGTCTCCGCTGGGAGAGGCTGACCCATGGTCTTCGCTCACAGGTGCTGGTACTCGGTCGGTGATGGACAGCGATGGATCGGATATCTGGACCTCGGCGACGTGAGAAGTGGAAGGATCACTGGGGTCATTTACTTCACTAGTGCAAACTGAGTGTGCTGTGGGCGAGTGTAGAGAGGGAGAGCCTGGAACTGCAACTGCGCTGACCACCAACTCTTCCTCCTCCTCCTCCTCCCCTCCTCCCTCCACCACCACAGCAGCTGAAGTGGACGCCTCGTCGGGAGGAGAACCGTCCGTGAATGACTCTGCCGGTTCACGTTGAGGTGCCGTACTGGTGGTGGTCGTCGATGTATTCGTCGGCGACGAAGTACTCGCTGCTGTTGTTGTTGAGCTGTTGTGACTAGCTGCTGTCTCTGAGGAAGCATTGCCTTCAGGCTTCTTGAAACGCGCCACCAAGAAGCGATAGGCTTGCTGTACTGAGTCAGACATGGTTGGCCTCTACTGCTGCTGCTGCTGTTGCAGCTTGGTTGGCCTCCTCTCTCTCTCACTCTGTTCTTCAGGTGGTGATAGTCGTAGTGGTCGATGGTGGACTGTGGTGGTGGTGGCGCCCAGCCACTGATAACGAGTCAGAGAGCAGTACAACAGCAGAAACGCCAATAGTCGTGGTAGTAGTGGGCTGTAGGCTGTAGAGAAAAGAGAGTGAGAAAAGAGAGTGTGAGAAGGAGAAAGTATGAAAAGTACTGGAAAGTGTGGTAAAGTCACTCTCGAAGGCCGCTCAGCTAAAGACTAGCTCAGTAGACCGTTGAAGTTGAGGGAAAAGTTGACTGCACAGGGAAAGTTGAGAAAGATTTGCATTTTTTCTCCAAAGTGTTCTCACTTTTTCCAAAGTTTACAAGTGAAAGTTTGTTGTTGCCGTTGTTGTTGCTGTCGTCGTTGCCTTTGCAGTGAAGCCTAGAAAGATTCAGAACAAGGTCAAAGTACAACGGTTGTTTGCAGCAGCGCGGTGGCGCCCGATACTGACGTCTGAAACGGTTTGGGGAGGATAAAAAGAGAAACGACTGCTGCTGCTGTGTCAGTTGTTGTGGCCTGTCTGGAGAACACACTCTTGTTTTGTTGTGCCTCCAGCTGGCAGATGACGAGGCAATGGCTAACGGCAAATCCAAGTGATAGTTGGCTTGTACGGTAAAGTCTCTGTCGCCCTTTGTACAAAACAAAAAAGCGTAAACTTACGGAACGGCTTTAGCGTTGCTCAAAGCGTTGTAGCGGTGGTCTGTGCAGTTAGTCTCTGCAGAAAAAGGTCAATCGTCAGTGGACTAACTCTCCATCGAGCACATCATCATCTTGCTCCCATCTGCTACCGGAGACTAATA